GCAAAGACACTATAGTCAATTTTTTGATTATTAGAATAATTTAGAATACTTACTGTCCTTCAGCTTCTAAATATAAAGAGGCTACCTAGACCATAACCCCCCAACATGCCCATTTAAATTGTACAATGTGAAGTATAGACTAGTAGTATGTAGGTGGTCACTCTACAATCTGTGACAATTACTGGTTGGAATTCATGCCTCTGATATGTTGTTTGCCTTCAGGGATGGCAATAATTGGTAGGGAACCATGAGGAACATCAAGAAAAGGAGTTGGATGGGGAAAGATATATATATAGTAGGGAAACAGCTAGAGAAGAATATTTGAGTTGAGCAGGTAGGTCCCAGGTCAAGGGAAAATACCTAAGTGTGTGTGTGTGTGTGTGTGTGGGGGGGGGGGGGGGATGAAGAATTTGCAAGCATGAGGTAAAGCTAATTTAAACAGGAATATTTATGCATTTTCATAAACTTTTTCAGATCTCTGTACTTACAGCCTAAGCAAACGTAGTATGACCAAATGGATATTCTAGATTGACTGAAATATGGAAGTTAGCAATGTCAAGCAGTTTGTAAGTGACCAGAATATTACAACTTATTTCAAGCAGGGCTGCATTATATCTGGTTGGATAAATCCTGAAATAAAACACTTCATAATTAAGCCACGATGAAAAATAATGTGTCTAGACATCCTAATGGACAGTGAAAACCGAGATGGACAGTGCCCATTGAGAAACATCTGTTCAGCAGATGGCTGTTCATGCCTGAATAAACAGAAATATAACGGAAGATATTTTGAGTGGACTTGAGTGAATTCAGGTATTGCAGGGTTTTATGTACCCCATGACAAGCATATGAGTGATGGCATGAATAGTGGTGATTAATTGTATTTGCCAAACAGCTTTTAGATGCATCTCAAAATCTCAGTGTTTAACAGTTAATCACTTCCTTTTTTTTCTTAAATGTCACTTTCTTGAAATCTTTCATAATTTGAAAATTAAAATAATCAGTTTTTTTCACCATATTTCTTCTCTTTTATCACTCTGGACATCAATGATACAATTGTTCCCTAAGGAGATTTCAATTCTGGCTGCTTATCCCTCATTTGATGTCCAAATCCTGCCTTTGCAAGATGACAGCTGGTTGCTATGGCAGTGATGGCAGGTAACAATGTAGCTGTCACATATTATTAATCCACTGCCTTAAGACTAGCACCAAAATATTGCCAAGGTACAGGCACTGAAATCAGATCTGGCTTCTTTCTGTCATTCAGCCAGGGTTCATTCAAAAAGTATGTTCCTTTGATTATGCCATTTCAAGAGCATGGAAGCAGAAAGAAATTTGTGCAGTGACTAAGAGTGGAGAACTTTACCATGAGGATCAGATCTGGTTTAATTGCCAATCTAGGAAACTGAGGTCAAAGCAATAGTGAGGCTATGGATGATGGCATAGGAAATTATGACTCTTCATTCAAGAGTCTTGACTTTGGATTTGGAAAGAAGGAAGGAAGAATAAACAGAAAAGGAAGGATTACTGTAGTTACTCATATATAAAATGAGGTTTTCCCCTCCAATCATCATGGGCAAAAAAGCCCCTCATCTTACATTTCCATACAAGAAAACCTTATTAAATACATTATCTACATTAACCTGCTGCCAAAAGCAACATGTGCTCAGTAATGGAAACCAACTATAAAGCTGACTAAATTCAGCCAACACCGAGTATGATTATAAAACATATGGTGCATATATATTTGTATCCAAGGCCAAATTAGCCAAAACTAATTTCAGATTCAAGAGTCCAGAACACAAGTGGCCCTACTACTGGCAAACATCCTCCACCCACACCTGAAGCTTCAGATGTTTCCAAAACCTTTGGCGGGCATCCTACTTGCAGACCCAAGCCTGGAGTCTTGGGGTTCGGATGCCCCTGAGTTTTGCTTGCCCTTAGCCATAAGGCCCTCGGAGCAAGCAAGGGATGAACTCCCATTTTTGTAAACTGGGTTTAAAGCTGCTCCACCTCAGCGGGTACTGAGCCACACCAGAAGAGCAGTTCTCCTGTGAGGCAGTTCAGGAAAACTACCTTCTTGGACAGAGATGCATGGTATTTCCCCTGCCAGGTTAAGCCACTATGCTTGATGTGAGCCTTCAAGAGGCCAAGTGATGGTGCATATATGGCAAACATTAGCTTAACCCACCTGTATAATATATATGGTAATGCTCATTGAATGCTGTATCCCTTAGCACTGACACTTTTTAAAGTCATGGTGAGCTACTACATTGAATATGTTTTGACTTCCTCTTCACCCCCACAGCTGATCTGCACCTTTTTCCTGCCATTCTTGTTTTTTAGCCATCCTTAAATGTCTGGCAAACATCACTAAATGGGCCCCAAAAAGCTTACCCAGATCCCTCTGTTGCCCCATCTCTCAGCATGTCACATATTAGTGTGGCACCACCCTCCAGGAGGTGGAGGTGAAGCTGGAGCTGGAGTTGGGCTGAGTTGCCCTATGCCTCATCTGCATATACATTTTTGGAGATGCCAGGACTCATGACAACAACACCTGGTTCCAGTCATGAATGGGGGGCTAATTAGTACATGAGTCCTTTGTATTTGGAGTACACACACACATTGAGCAGTGCTGAGCTGTGGGATCACCGTGGTTGAAAATGCTATTTTCTCTGCTGGGGCCCAGCCCAACAAACTATATAGTAATTCATGAGCCTCTTGACTTTGCATGCACAGTTTATACTAGAGAAGCACTGCTTAAAAGTTTGTTTATGGAATACCTTTGCTAAAATGTGCAGCAGTTTCAAAAGAGATAAGCTACACCAGTTCTGGATTAACTAAGTCTATGGGTACCAGTAGTAACTTGCAGATATGCAAGTCACTACAGGTATGTTTATTTCTAGGTCAGTGTTTTTAAATTTGCAATTCACTACCACATGGTTCAGGAAGAGCAGGATCCGATAGTAAGGAGGTCAGGGAAAGAAGTTACAGGATGAAGAAGTTGAGGAGAGCAAAAGGCAAGGGGGCTACCTGACCTCCTTGATTTATTTTCCTAGTGGGAGAGGGATAAATTCAAGACAAATCCCCAATTATTAGATGCTATATCTGGAAAATTATAACAAATTTATAAATTATCCAGGTATAGAATATAATTATTGGGGAGTTGTCTTATAATCAAGGTCATCTTATATTTGAGCAAATATGGTAAATAATGTATTTTTAGTGGAGGGAAAAAGAATACACAGTTCCAAATCTCTCAGCAATGTTCTTTGGAAAGCTCTTAAAAGTACCACACAATTATGGATTTTTTTTTCTTTTTAACCTTGCTTTTTTATTGTCAGTCATGCAAAGAAAATTTCAGTAAAAAATCCAATACAGGCAATTGAAACTTCATTAAAAACAAGTCAGTGAATCACACCTACCCCATTATAGCACCCAGCAATGACCTCTTTTTCTGGCAAATACAGAATTTCTGTTCCCTTATTATTGCATCCTAGTCCAGTTGTTCTCAATCTGTTCAGAGTCAGGGCACCCCTCCAGTACTTTTTTTTTTTTTTTTTAAACGTGGTGGCACCCACAGTAGAGAACTCACCTCAGTGCTTTTCAACCAGGCGCTACAGCCTCCTCGTAAAATTACCCTGTATGCCTGCTATACAGTCAGCCCAGAAATGGCTGTGGCCTATGTGCATGCTCCTCCTGCACTTGGGCTCTCTGATCAGCCTAAAGCAGGCAGGAGCTGCCTTGTGCTATAGCCCTTTCTGGTCTGGCCCCCCAGACTACTCCCAGAAAGAGAAGTATGCAGATGGAACTGTCCCATACCCCTCAGTTTCCAAGAGGAGCATGGGGAGGGGTGGAGGGAGGCTATAATGGGAAGGCCTACAGCCTGAGGCAGGCCCTGCCTACTTTTGCTCATCAGAGCCTAATTCAGCAAGAGTGTATGTGGTGCAGAGCCCTGATGCGTCACACTACCCCAGTTGAGAACCACTAGACAAAGAATTATTCTACCCTGTTCATACATCTAGGCTAGTTGCATATCTTGTTAGATTCCCAACATATGAGTGAAATCTCCTGAAAACACATGGAGAGTTGGGCTACAGATTGTAATATTGCAAGTAATATATGCTCTAGAATCTACAGCACCAAGAATCCCTAGAAACTCTTTACCACAAAACCTTAGTGGTCTTTCCAAAAAGAAAACTGCAGCTCACAAAGAAATGGGGCACATCTCACACTCAAGAAAAAGAATGAAGGGGACAGAGTGGGATATGACTGAGCAACACCAATGTTCTCCTAAGATGAAAACACACAAAGAAATCACACCAAATTCTGGATATGGGGCAATGGTAATTTATACCTTGATGATGGTATGACTTGTATTCCAAAATTTGTGGGAAGAGATGAGTAGTGAAATGATGCAGAAGGATTCAAGTAGCTGTACCATACTACTTACAACCTCCTCAGTTTCTCAGTGTACTGTTTAAGTAAAACAAACAAACAAACAAAAACAAAGGAAAGCATCATATTTCTTTCCTCAGTTCAAGCCTTTTGGTGGAATTGTCTTTACTTGAACTCATTGGCTATGTACAGCCAGTCAAAAAGACCAAGGCTGAATTAATTCAATCTTTTCAGGTTAATCTAAGTTGCATAGATTGAACCAATAAGTAAGTGAACAGACATTCACTTTTGATTCCGGAAATGCAGCCAGATGTTTGCAGTGGCCCATGCCAGAAGCCAAGGGGAGCTAGAGCACATTTCCCTGCTCAGCTAGAGCAGACAGCTTGGGCCAAAGCTAACGCCCACACCCTGTGAGGTGGGGCTTGCAGGGGAGGTCAAAGCATCCTTGGAAGCTGGAGGATTAAGAGTTAACTTGAACCTGGAGGGGATCTGTAACAGAAGTTCAATACACTGATTTAACCTAAATCAGTTAAGTCTGATACTACATCCATCCAGGTTTATCGTAAACTGGTTTCAACCATTTTGAAAGCAATTTATGTGCACTGAACTTCTGTTGTTTGAACCAGTATCTGATCACTTAAACCAGTTTATGCATAATTAATGTTCCTAGCTATTAAGTTCAAGCTCATAAACCTAAAAGCTTATGATACACACTAGAATAGCTCCATTAGTTTGCACAATATAGAAGTCATAAGGTCGTTTGTAAAGTCTGAAGTAATTAAATAATTTGTTCGCTGAATACTGCAGCCTTTTTAATTTGACACATCAGATTCTTGACACTGGGAATGGCATACGTCAAGAGTTATGATGTTAAATTATGATAACATGTGAAATAACTCTTTTGATTTCAGTTAACATAAAGCAGGCTTGATTTTAGCCCATGGGTTTATGGTGTAACCACCTTCATTTTCAAAGCCTGATAAGGAAATATAGTAGCATAAAAATAGATATATAACATAACAAGTCAGGCATTCAGGGTCCAATGCCTGCTAAGCAAGACCTGCGGGAGATCATGGTTTCTGTCACTAATGTATTATCATATTTTACATCTATTTGAATAATCCTGAGATTGATGCATTTTATGTAAAACAGTGATTTGGCATGAGCAGTATAGCTCAGCAGGACCAACAACTAGGTGAGAAGTGCAAACTGCTAATCAAAGCAAAGGAGGATGAGAGAAAACTGTTCATAAAATATCTTGGACTGAAAGAGCAATCTGATTGACTGATGGAGTCCAAGTTCTGTGACTGTAAAACCCTCTAGCTCCAAGTTGGGAGCTTTCTCATTTTTACCACAGTATCACTTTCCAGTTTGTGCGCAATATCAAATGCCCTTCTCTGCTGCTGGAGGTCCTCTGTTTCCTGGCATATTGCAGATGTGTGTATGAATGTCCCAGAACCACACACTTTGTTCTCCCTCAGTGCATGGTATGTCTTGGTGTAAGTACACTTTCCAGTAAAAACAAGCCTTTGTGCAAATCTTGCTTTAGTTGCTTAAGTCTTTGTTGGTCTACCGATGTAGTTGTATCCATTGTAGCCTAGAGAGTACATTTCCAGGCAGAGCGGGTCAGAGTACCATATGCAGAGTGGGATGCAGAGTGGGACAGAGCACTATATGCAGAACGGGATTTAGAGCGAGGCTGAGTGCCATATGCAGAGCGTAATTTGGAGCTAGATTGAAAGCGAGATGCAGGGGCCGCTCTGGAGACCCATGCAGACTGTGAAGAAAAGCGGGACACTGTACTGCCTAACGGACCCCGGTGAGGGCTGCACACTGAGTGAGACAGAGACCGAGCCACTGGGGAAGAGGCAGAGACACCCACAAAGCGAGCCATGGGAATGCTTACAGAGCGAGATGTTGTGTTAGATATGGAACCATGCACTGCACGGGACACTGGGATGCTCAAAGGGTGGGATACTGAGGTGGACGCAAGGCCACACACAGAATGGGACACTGGGGTGCAAATAGGATGAGAGGCTGGAGTAGACATAGCATGGGGCACTGGGGTGCAAATAGGGCGAGAGGCTAGAGTAGACATAGCATGGGGCATTGGGGTGCAAATAGGGCGAGAGGCTGGAGTAGACACAGCATGGGACACTGGACCATTTAGGGGATGGGATGCTGGGGTGGACACAGAGCCACAGGCAGCATGGGACACTGGGGCATTTAGGAGGTGAGATGCTGCGGTGGACACAGAGCCACAAGCAGCATGGGACACCAAGGCACTTGGTGGATGGGAGGCTGAGGTGGGCATAGTGCCAGACACAGTGTGAGAAACAGGGGTGTGAACAGGGTTACTGTTAGCAGAGCCAGTCATGAAGTGTGAGAGCAGAGCAGACATAGCATTGTTTGCTGGGATAGACAGAGAGTAAGGCATTGGGGGCTGGACAGGGTGAGGAATTGGAGCAGAAGCAGAGCCACCAACAACCTGAGCCACTGGGCGGCACATGGGGCTGGATGTTGGGGCAGATACTGAACCACTCACTGAATGAAACATGGGGGCACTCATGGCAGAAGGCATAGTGTCACATATAATATGGAAGCCAGAATCAGACTGGCACACAGAATTGCACAGGGGATGTCCCACAGGGAGGTACACATAGTCAAATGTGGGCTGGTTCCCAGAGCCATTCCCAGAGGTGCACATGGGGATGCAGATATAGTCCACATATGCATCCCCATGAGGGAGGAACCCGGAGTCACACACTGGGAGAGTCCCTGAGTTGCACACAGGGAAGGGCACCGAATTGCACCTCGGATCACACACATCAGCACTGGCATAACCTTTGCAGTAGCCAAACTTGTGACATGCAAAGTTGGCTAGGAGCCGGTGGCAACCATGCCTATAGGGTATAAACTCCACTACAGTTCGTGCTTGGTGATTGGAAGCCAAGGTTCCTAAACTGAATGAAGAGACAAAAAAAAAAAAGATTAGTGTTCTCCGTTACATACGTAGCCTGTAGGTGTGCTGGATTGAACACAGAACCACTCATGAAGTGACATAACATTATTCAAACAAACAGAGAGCAAGACATTATGACATGGATAGGGTGGGATGCTTGGGCAGACATGGACAAAATGAGATACCGGGCATACGGACACCTGTTATGCCTGTTGACATTGTTATACCTGCTATGTTTGATTAGTTTTAACTTTACTGAGTGCCCCTCTATTCCAAAGTATAATGTTTTACACTGGAGAAGTTTTAAAAACCTGCTACCCTTACTCCAGCCTGACATTCCTTTCTTCCTTCTCATCCAAAAGAAAATCATATGGTGAAAAGCATGATTAATATTTCCTTCAGCCTCAGGATGAACTGGGGGAAATGAGCAACAAGCTGATAACCTTTTCTTACAACACCCATAGAAACCCATCTGATCTATGTACCACATACTGTGAAATAACAACACCTTGAACTCTTTACACATCTAGCATATTTCCTTCTAATTTAAACTTAACATTCTAGTTATGGTCTGTTCAATAACCTAAAGTAGGATCAATGAGCTTTATTAGGTTAAGTTAATATAGTTCAATTAGAGTGTCTCCTAATGGTCTTCTGTCAAGACTAAATAATTCCAATTGTTCTCAATTTCTCCTCATAATCAAGAATACCAATGGATAGTAACTAGATATTAATCTATTCTAAGATGAAATGGCATTCTGCAAGCACTCAGTGCAGTCCTTCCTTTAAGATGTTGTGGCCTTACAAAACACATTAGTAATCCCCTTCCTTTATCTAGTGTTGAATGAATCGCATGCTAATGAATCTTGGATATATTGACTCTTTTTTCACCTAGGTTTAGAGAGATACTAACTACAAATTCAATGGGCTTATTGTATTCTTTCCATGAATAAAAGCCCTGCTCAAGCTGCAGGGATCCAATTAGCATTTCTGGCAAAGAAAACAGTGCATTTCCCATACAGATTGTACCTTTTAAATTATGTTTTAAGAAAAATAAACCATTAATATTGTCCCCTCTCTATATTCTCTGATCTGTTTTTGCTGTTTTAAAGGACATGCCCTTCAGAGTATCAAAGCAGAGACATGGAATAACTGGCGCCAACTGTTGGCACCCTTGGAGAGTGCCACTCTGATCCCTTTCTTACCCAAACTGGTGCTCTGCTTTGTGGTTCCTGATCTGCGCTCCCTATCTGATCTGCTTTCTGCTACCCTACCTTCTCTCTTACTGTGCTTTCTATCCCCTCCTCAATCTGCCACATGCCACACAGAGAGGCTGCTTGTGCCACTTGTGGCACCTGTGCTCCAGATTGGCCACCCCTGGATTAGGAAAACAAAGTCCTATCAAAGTTGTCCACAACAGTAGCACAGGTGTTATGTCACTCTTTTCCAACATATGCCTGGTTTAACAGCCTTCAGGGCTTTTTAGCTATAGCATATTTAAATTTTCCAATGTCAAATTGAAGCTATGAATTTCCCACCTAAAAATCTGTTAAACTTACTCAACAGCCATTGACTCTTTAAATAAGCCACAGCCTTCCAGGTTCAGTACACAATTCTTCAGATCTTCCTGGAGGGGATTGCAGAAGGAGATTTCTGCAGTACATGGTTCATTCAGCCTAGGTAGACCTAAGAGCTGGTCAAAGACACAGAAAGATTCTTAAATTTGTACCTTTTCAGAAATATTGCACTATACTGTATTTTGCCAGTTGGTGAACAAACAAACAAACAATTAAATTTAAAAAAAAAACGGAAAGGATTTGTATGTAAAAATCCATTCCTGGTTCAGCTATGGTTCAATATTTCTCCAGTAAAATGGGGGAAATAGTTATTGGATTAAAAATCATACAGGACACTGTTAACCATGAACGCTGCATGCCCCCGGAGGCGGGGGAACTGGGGAGGGCACAGCGAGCTCCCTCAGGCAGTGGCGGCACTGTCAGTGGCAGGAGCATGGAGGCGGCAAGTGGGAAGCTCCCGCATGGAGCTGCAGCGCTGTCGGCAGCGTTGGGGAGGGGGAGTGCCAATAGGCAGATGGCAACAACCAGCAGGTACCGTTGGCAGCATCGGCAGCAGACAGTGGCGATCATGGACTGCCCACAAATGCCACTAGTGATGTTGGTGGCAAGTGGGAGGAATGGCAAATGGTGACTGCCTGCAGGTGCTGCTGGCAGTATTGGCAGCGCCTTTTCACAGGGGGTGCACTGCCACACTCAGGGGGTGCATATGCAGCTGTGTGCACCCCCTAAATGTCACCAATGCTGTTAACCCTAAAAAAAAGTGCTACAGATTAAGAACTCTTCATCATTGCAGACAGGCAGAGGGGCTGACAGTACATGCACACACATGTGGCTGTGTATCTTTGAACAATGAGTGTCCCAATGAGTCACTCTATATGAATCAGAACTATTCCTGTAATCCTTTACCTTAATAGCAACAGTAGGCCTGTTGATCACAATGTCCCTTTTCACCATCAGAACTTCTCCACACTCTGGATCAGAGATAGCTACCAACCTCATAATGTCGTGATCACCCAGATGATGTCCATATTGATTATAAGATATATGTAATGGGATTGTTTTTGCTGTAAAACAAAATTATTTTCATTACAATTGAGTTAATATATCATCCCCCCCCCCTCTTCTATTCTGTGCTTGACTGGCAGGAATAAAATGACTTGTTGTCATTGTATGAAAATGTTGTGCCTTTGGTAGCAAATATTGATGTCCACAGTCACATATATACAGTGGCCGATTTCATGCATTCAGGGATCTGTAACTATATAATTTTATTCACCAAGACAACTCTCCTTACTTGAAGCCTCTAGGTCAACGATGGTCATTGGTATCTCCAAATCGTTGAAATTAAAACTTGGTAAGATTTAATTTAAGCTTTAATAGTAGCCACTGTAGTGTGCAAGGTTGGGGCACATCATGCCCCTGTTACTGCAACAACAGCTGCTTTTATGCCCCTCCATAAACATACAGCTGCTTCCCTAGTCACTCCCCCACCCTCAGTTACACTATTGTCTGTAGTTATACCACTAATACAACAGGAAACATCTCCATGTTAAAATCCAAGTAGAAGATTCAAGATAATGAGTTTCTGAATAATAGAATCACTGAAAATTAAGGTTGGAAGGGACCTTAGGAGGTCATATTATCCAACCCCCTGCTCAAAATAGGGTTGTCCTCAACTAATCATCCCATCCAAGGCTTTGTCTAGGCAGGTCTTAACAACTTCAAAGGATAGAGATTCCACAACCTGCCTGGGTAACCTATTCCAGTGCTTTACTATCCTCCAAGTGAGAAAGTTCTTCCTAATATTTAACCTAAACTTCCCTTGCTGCAACTTGATACCATTGCTCCTTGTTCTGTTATCTGCTACCACTGAGAACTGTCTAGCACCATCCTCTTTGGAACTGCCCTTCAAGTAGTTGAAGGCTACTGTTAAATTTCCATGCAGTCTTCTCTTCTCCACACTAAATAAACCCAGTTCCTTCTGCCTCTCCTCAGAAGTCATGTGGCCCAGCCCCTGCACAATTTTGGCTGCCCTCCTCCAATTTGTCTACATCCTGTCCATAGTAGGGAGCCCAAAACTGGACACAGTACTCTGGATGTGGAATCACCAGTACAGAACAGAGGGGAAGAATCACTTCCCTCAATCTGCTGGCATGCTCTTACTAATGCAGCCTAATATGCCATTAGCCCTCTTTGCAACAATGGCACATTGTTGGCTTATAGTCAGCTTATTGTCCACTGTAACCCCATGTTTTTTTTCTGCAGAATGTTAACCAGTGTTTCTAAACCTTGTGAATTTAGATCCATCCAACAGAAATAAAAGTCCTACAAGACTCTCAATAGTGTGCAAGTCACACAGTAAACTAGCTGAGTTTTCACTGTAAACAATAAGGTAACTCAACTGCCAATATTAAACAATACCAAGCTTTGCTAATTTCATCCCCTAGAGTTTTCAAAAGCCTCTCATGAGGCATGATACTGGGACCATCCCTGATTACAAGCAACTAAAAAAAAGCATTGACATTGGACCAGCAAAAGCATATTAGCTCTAAAGTTTCTTACCTTCCCTTGGACCCAGTGCAACATTTATATTTTCCTTCCAGAACTGATCCAAAGCACATCCATTGTGTGTCAACACCTGAGTGCATAAGTTGAAATTCAGGTTCTTGGGCTCATTTCGTAAATTTTCAAGCAACCAATGAAGATGGACATCTTGGCCATACATAGGGCAATTAACCATTTTAAACCTCATGCTCATGCCAGCATCACTTAAGAACCGGTTCTGGAGAGCTGCTAAATCTCTATCTATATGACAGTTAGGAGCATTGCAGTATCCAGAGTGAATTCTTCTATAAGCTTTGTAAAATGCCTCTTTGCCTTTCAGAGAACCTGTTGAAAAAGAATAGAGAGATTTAATCTATTAGCAGCTACAGGATCATATCTAGACTGCCTTCCTGCCAAAGCCTTCACCAAAGAAATAAGCTTGCTGCCCACTTAATCACATTCTGTGAACATCTATCACCAGCAATTAGGCAGCATATGCTACATAGAAAGGTTGTGAGTGCATAGTCCACTTTTGTGCTCAGACACTTCTGAGACAAATAAACTATGAGTAAACTGGTGTACATGTTCAACACTTCTCTAAGCCATAGAGGCTGCATAATTGCCAGACTTTGTTTAATCTCCCCTGAGTGAGTTAAGATAACAGGTTAAATAGACCCATGGTCTGACCGAATAAATGACAGTTTTTAAGTTATGTAAGAAGGATGTTATGTAAGATGGGCTTCCAGACATCTAAAAAGTAAACATGATCTCTATTCCTGTAGTAGAACTACGGATCATGTGAATTTAGATTATATCTAGAAGCCTCTTCAGTGGTGGTTCTCAACCTTTTTGGACTCCAGGCATCCATCGCTAGACTGGAAGCATTCCTCCATAACTTTTGTGAATTGAGTGGGCTCCAATTTCAAAAACTCATTTATAGATTACAGTATTTACCTCCTTACACAGGGGTTGGGGGATCATCCAGGCAGGAACAAGCCTGAGCCTGGTGTATCTGCTTAGCTTACTGCTTACTTCCTCATCCTTTTGACACCCTTCAAAGGATCTGGCAGCACCCAGGTCGAAAATCATTGCTCTAGAATCAGACATCTACCCAAAAGCTAGACCAATCTGCAAAAGGTTCATTTTGATTTAGCATGGGGAGTTTGTTTTTTTTAATCAAATGATGCATTTGTAATTATTGAATATAATCATTTCAAATTTGTGTTAATTCAGTGAAAGTCTTTGATCCATACCAAGTTCATATTTGTATGTTCCAGTGATATCTTCACGATGATCACTGCCAACAGACTTAGTGCTAACACACTGCCCACAAAGCCATGCATCATAGTAAAGTTTTTCTTTCTTGTCACTGCTTTTGGAAAGCCAGCCAATACAGCTTGCATTCAGACGAGAAAATATATGTTGGCCATCATAATCCAAATCCAATTCTCCATCTTTAACACTTCTGATTGAGGTAGGGCCACAGCAAGCTGAACCTAGAATATATAAAGGTAAACATAATATAACATGGCATAACATAAAATGCTCACTATACTACTTCAAGAATACAAGCATGCAGGATACAGGATACAGGCTTCATTCACCTCTTCCAGACTCCATGGGTGTTGGATCCAGACATTGCCAGTTACTACTGCAGAGACCTAGGTCTCTGCGAGCCATCCAGGATTCATTCCAGCAGTGATATGCCCTGTAGGAACACAGAATTGTAAGAGACTTCTTCAATCACTAAGTAAAATGTGCCTACTATTGCAGGCATCCTTTTCATATAAACCTTTTCATGTAAATAAATTAAGCTCCATTTAATCTACAGTTAGGTTTTTTACTCCACCCATCTTGCCATGTTGGAAAGTTGCTCAAGAACTGTTCTGTTCTGATGTTTAGAAACTTTGTTCTAATTTCTAGTTTAAATGTATTCATAGCCAGTTAATATCTATGCATTCTTATGCCAAAAACTGTCTTTACCTCATATAGTTCTTCCCCACTCCTTAGTTTACCTCCATCTTTTATATATCTATACACATGAGAGAGAGAGAGAGAGAGAGAGAGAGAGAGACACACACACACACACACACACACACACACACACAAATAAAGAATAAGAATATCCCTTCTTATCTTTCATTTTACTGCACTAAACAAGCCAATCTCTTTTAGCAACTTCTTGTAAAATCTGGCCTCCTTTCCCCTAATCATCCTTATAATCCTTCTCTGTAGATTTTCCCTTCTTTCTTGAAAGTAAAAAATCAGAGACTTTGTCAAGAACTCTTAAGGCCTATACTTTAATACAAGCTAAAATTCTCATCCAACCAGACTAGGAGCATGGATCATAGACACGGTTGTGAGGATACATCTACAGTAGTCTTGGTCAGTGATAAGGATTTTCATAAAACCAACTACCAACCACAATTATCAACCAAGTTATGGAGGGTGGAAGATGATGGCTCAACTCTACGATGGATTTAGCCCTTGTGTTTCATGGCCCAGTTAGTATTTTTAGACTACTCAAAGAGGAATGGCCTTACACTTTTCCTTTGAAAAAAAATAAGTAGTTTTGACCTTATGTATGTTTTATGAGTAGATGTTTTTCATGTAGATTCAGCAGTCATGTGGCTGCCATTAGTATATAGTTACTGAATTATTGCAGTAGTCTTGAAAGCTGAAGAAATGGACATGCAGAAATGCTGCATTAGGAGGCTAGTATTAGTCCTTCTGTCTTCCTTGTACATCTATAACAGCAGACAACAACATAGGGAGCTCTAATGACCTATTTCACACTTACCATAGTTTGTCTTTGCCACACAGGGTTTTGCCAGTAGAGTCAAAAAGTTCATCGACAGCAAGGGGGTTCTCAGCACAGTGTGGAGAACAGAAATTTGTTATGACACGGCTTGGAATTCCCAAACACCTCATCACTACAAGGAAAAAATACTCTAAGAATATTTTCACAAAAGAATCAATTCCCTATAATTAGTTAGTCAAGTTCTTTCCTTCCTATTTTTCCAATAATTCTCAAATCATTTACACACAGAAGGTATATCTGTATGTTACAATATGCATAGGTGTATCATACACAGGGTACAAAAGGAGTCTCACTAAGGGCTCCTTTCAGGTATTTGGGAAACAGTGTAAAGTAATAACAGAGATGATAGCCTTTTTGGTTGTCTCCCTGTTTAGGTTCTGCAACAATGGCATTTTCTAACAAACCAGCCAGAATTTTCTATAATGTTAATGTGAATGCCACTCTATGACAAAATAGTCTCCTTAACCCAAAGCAGATTTAGCTTCAGTAAGTGATCAGTACAGCCTTGCCATTGGCACTTCTCTATGTTGTCTAGCACACTTAAACTCCCATTTAATAGGATAACAGTTGACAGTTCATTTCTCTTATTTCTGAGGAAAAGGCATAATCTGGCATTTTGTTCCTATTGCCACCCCTTGTTCCTTTGCATCATCTTCCAAACTTGACCTAGAAGAGTACACTACCACATACAATATTCCAGGCTTGCCCTGGTTTTCTTAAATCACTAGAAGAAATGCTTAGCAAATGCCATGGCTTATAGTACTAATTGGTGTCAAATTTTGGGGGAAAGAGCAGGGATTTTCTTCTTCCTCTGACTAAAGTATGGAAAACTACAGAGATAAAATTAGATCTCATACTAAGCAACTACTTTGCACTAGGAACAAACAAACAAAAAAAAAAGTCATTTTTTCTGGTAGTATGTAGATCAGATGAGTAACTTGCAATCAGTTTTTGGGAAAGTTTTTCTTGCCCGTGTACCTGTGCACATCACTGATGCAAGAGTGAGACAGTCTCCAAATCTGACTGGCCTACACCTTCTGTTATACCACTGCTGAAGTATGGGGACACTTCCATTCCATGTTAATGGGTTAGTTCCCTTCAGGTAATCATTATTGTCTGGGAGCTTCATGATGCTGTTACTGTGATGGCCACAAAGCTGGAAAAAATAAAGCAATAATCATGGTTTCATATTTTCTGAGAGCCACAGATGATAAATGCTGCAGTAAGTAACAGAGTCAATAAAAAGCTAGGTTGGGTTTAAAGTCGAATTCCTCCATGAGTAACTCTTTGTAGTGCGGGGATTTCTTGTGATAAACTCTTCTAAAAAACACAGGTCAGTACTGCTGATGTAGACAAAAGTCAAAGGAAAGTAATCCTTCACTTACCATGTGGTTTACCACCATACTGACATGCACAGGATCATTGCGCCAGCGACAACCTCGTTCAGAGCCTTGGTGGTAATTTGAACCTATATCCAAGACCTTCAGGCAGATATCCAGAATCCCATTTTCAAACTAATTATACAAAGAAAGAGGGTTAGTAAGAGACTTTATGGACTGAAGTAATTGATTTGACACTTTTATTTTCCTCTAAATCAGTGGGATGCTTGTGAGGAGCTCCCTTCTTTAAGCCCAGTATCTAATACTTTATATTGCATTTCATCTCTGTTGGCATAGAGATTGGATAAGACTTTCCATAATATCAGTAAACATGCTTTGCCAATAGAAACATTATCCCTTTTCCTTCAGGGGCCCTGTATCCTTCTCCCCATTTTGCAGAAAATTCTCTGCAACTTTACAGAGCCAAAATAAGTTCATTTGGTTTTCCTTCAAAGTTGAGTCTGCTACAATATAATCCATGTAGAAAGGATTGCTGTAGTCCATGCAAAATGTTAAAACAAGAGCATAATCTGGACTGCTGCACAAAAGTCTTACAAAATTGTGTAGCACACCAAATATTTCTGTAAATCCTGAAATATACCTATACTAGAAAAAGGTCAGAACCAGTCTATTGCCCTCTTGATTGGTTAACAAGTTCACAAGAAGTCCCAGAGCATTGCATTCACCTGTCCAAAGTGCCACAGTCTAGAAGTAATGTGCTTGTGTACTCCCTCATACAGCATCCCATGTTCATTCAGAACATATTCTTCTCTGTGAGCCTGATTGTCCATATACACAGGGTCATCTACCAAAGAAGCAGCAACAGAGATGTCAGCCTTTTGTTTCTTCCACCCTTACTTTCTTTCTCCATTCTTTCTTACTGAATCTATTTTGTCCTGTCTTTTTAATGTAAACTTGGGCAAAATATTTAAATGAATC